CACCCTACACCCTGCACCCTGCACTTACACCCTGCGCCCTGCGCCCTACACCCTACACTTACACCCACGCCCTACGCCCTACACCCTGCACCATTTCAATAGAGCAACTCTCCCTCTGCTGCAGCCCAGCGCGCTGCTGCCTTGCGGGCTTTTGCACAGGCCCGCAAATCCCTTCGTAGCCCGCTGTGTGGCGGCGACAGTTGACCATGCTGGTACCAAACCGTCAACATTTGCCACCGCTTCACTGCTTTCGTGGCCATGTAGGAGGTGGAGATAGAATCCATCCGGCAAAAGCTCGTAGGAGCGGCCGACACGGGGTACAGTAAGTAGCACAATGCGTAAGGCATGTGCAGCGGTGACGCTGGTTGTTGGGCAACAAATCACCAATCGCTCTCGCATATCACGATCGGAGTTCCCTCCTCCACTCCTGGTGCTTCCTGAAGCTTGGAAGATCCTTCTGGAAGCCTGGTACCTGGTACCTCTATCTTGAAGCCTGGAACCTCTACAGGGGTACCTCGCTCATAAGAAACTGCCCTCCCCCGTAGGACCATCGTAGGGCCCTAGGCATATCCCTACTGTAGGGACCTAGGGGGGGTTGGTTTCTTATGAGCGAGGTACCCCTGTACCTCTATGGAACATCCATCCTGAGGCTTATCCCTTAAGTGACCAGTAGGCTCATACGCCCTACCGTAGGGCCCTAGGACCTGTCTAGGACCTCTTGGCCCTCAGATTTGTCGGCATGGTCACTTAAGGGATACGCACTTTTCTCACAGTAAAGAGTGGGGCCTGGAGTACGGGGGTACCTCGCTGATAAGAAAGCGCCCCCGCTCCTGGGACCACCATAGGGCCCTGGGCATAGCCCTACTGTAGGGTCCTAGGAGGAGGCGGTTTCTTATGAGTGAGGTGCCGGTACGCCTGTAGCGTTCTGCGCACGTGACATTTACCCACCACTCTCACCGCCCCTCTTTGTTTGTACATGTGCTCGCCCATAACCCTTACATGTAAGTGACCAACGGGCGAATAATCGCCCGTGGAAGCCCTAGGCAGTTCCTAGGGCCCTACGGTAGGGCGTATGAGCCTACTGGTCTCTTAAGGGATAAGGACGGGCCCGCCTCGGGTCGCAGCCCTGGGACAAACTTGCCTCGGGCGAGAGGCCCGTCCTATCCCTTAAGTGCCCAGTAGGCTCATACGCCCTACCGTAGGGCCCTAGGACCTGCCTAGGACCTCAGGCCCCCAAATTTGGAGGCCTGGTCACTTAAGGGATAGGGGTACCTCGCTCATAAGAAAGCACCCCCCCCCCTGGACCACCTTAGGGCCCTAGGCATAGGCCTACTGTAGGGTCGTAGGGGGGGGCGGTTTCTTATGAGCGAGGTACCCGTACAGCCCCTGCAGGCAGCGTTCTACCTCCACTATTCCCTAAGTGGCGAGGCAGTCAAAATTGACCGCCAAGCGGTCCTAGGCAGCTCCTAGGGCCCTACCGTAGGGCGTATGCGCCTACTGGCCACTTAAGATATATATATATATATATATATATATATAATATAATATATATATATATATATATATATATATATTATATATATATATATATATATATATATATAT